ATGTAATAACCAATTTTTGGATTTTAGATTTACAATGACAAAATGTCTCCACACGCGCGTGTCCAGGTAGTGGCCTACTTGTTGCACCCCATCATCCTAAACTGTCATCAACCATCTGCTGGAGGCGGCATCTTGGCCTAAATCAACTGTTTAAGGAGTAAACCGTACTCTTGTTTGTAGGTCCTGTTCAGTCTTTATTTAGTGAAACAGCCTCCCAGCGGACTGACCTCGTCTTTGCATACAGTTGGAAATATTTTGTAGTAAAACCGTTAACCGAAACATCTCTTAGAAGGAATGTCACATTAGCTGCAGAATAGTACCAAATATAAGGTATTGATTTCATCTGAAGGATTCTCTATCCTATGACAACATTGCATATCAATTTCAAATCAAGATGGCCCTTGACCTCGTTCTGTTTGTTCAGGACATCTTGGGGTCAGACCTCCTCCTGGCGTGTTTTTTGGTCTGTGACTTAACAGCCCCACTAGAGGTCAGGAGCGTTTCCCCTGGAGCTGCTGCTGCAGACTGAGATCACACCATCAGCCTTTCACCGCCTTTATCACTGTTTTCACGTTTGTTTTTCTCCCAAAAACGCCAAAGCTGTTGTCCCCAACATGGCGAGTCCTGCATTCAACAAATCTAAAGCGTTTGTTGAGGTACAACGATGTGAGAGAAGGAACCCTATCTGAGACCAGGGTCTTTTTTCCATCGCCTGTGGTTTTGTGTCTAAGCTCTGCAGCCCTGTGAGGGACTGGTTGTCACTGTGAGTTTCCTGCGGGTCTACTGAGTAGAAGGTGTGACGTGCTTGAGGTTTGCTTTGCTGTCACCTCTGTCTTTTTAACTTCTTGGAAACTTTAGCAGAGACGTCCTGAGAACAGCAGCCATCTTGGCTCTGTATGATGTGTAACAGAATGAGGCTCCATCATGACGTATTCTTGAGGTCACGAACTCTATAGCGTCTGGGTGGATTCTAGCTTGTGATATGAACAGGAAACTGCCTGAAAACAGCATATATGTCTTGTTACAGATAAACAGTCTTCACAGCCATAAGGAAATGTTACAGATCGATTTCAACCAAAAAGGTGAAGCTGAAGCTGAATTTCAAACGACAATAACAAACAGTTTTTCTCTCTGAAAGGTTTTTAAAAAGTTATATTTATTAAAAGTGTTGTGAGGAAATTAAGCAAACAGTATTTTCGGCAAAACATGTTGTAGGTAATATACAAGCCATAAATAAGGATTGCCTGTCAGATTTAAATGGCGGAAGATAAGTGACAGAATGGTCGATATCCCTTAACAGAAATGACACCGTGGGAAAGGTTTGAAGGTGGGAAAACTCCTAGTCCAGTCAAAAATGGAGGGATGTGAGGAGTTTACAGTGCTCCTCAGAGTAAGTGGGGAAGAAGTCAATCAAAATAGGTTGGAAATTGATTTGTAGTCCGTCAATCACAGTTAGCCCCGCCCTAAAGCATATTTCTCCCTATGGTCTATTTGACTCCAAATGTTCAAATTGTTAGATGTTGTCATCCCTGACCATTGTTGGTGGCCTGTGTATCTTTCTTTTCCGTGTTCTGCAGGCAGCCCAGCAGATGGCTTAGTTGGGGGTCCATCTTGATTGGTTGTACCATCAGCGCCGGCCCCTTTAAAACCATCATCCAGGGGGATCGGGAGAGGGAAAGAGGCATGTGGCTGGTTTGGCTGCCACAATGTTTAAAACTAATACATTCTTGATTATTCTCTAATAGTTTCCTTATTTTCCCCCGTGTTTGTTTTTGTTACGTTGCCTGAGAGCAGGGAACGTAACAATTGTGGTTGTTATTTTCCTTTTTTAGACTCTACATCCTTGTGTAGAGTGTTGATGCCAGAGTAGGTGCTGAAGTCAGAACTTCTTCTTTGGTCTGTGTGATGTCTGTTGGATTTCCAGTGCAGCATAGCACACATCTTCATCCTGAAATTTGACATTTGTTCTTTAGAATCGTGACCGTGTACTGATTTATTGCCATGAATCAGTACTTTCTTGTGTTGCACCTACCCCATGCTGTCTTCTTTGAGGTGTTTGCTGATCAGGTTGTGGAGCTGCAGAAATCAATACAACATCAGTACAGACAGCGTGGTGCATCAACACTCAAACACGGATCAAAAGAAGAGACTTCAGGTGTCTTTGTGGTAGAAATGAATTCAGTAGATCAATGACATTTCTTACATTTAGCTCTTAAGGAGCGGCATACAGTAGTTACCTTTTTTCTGACACAGATGATAAACTAGAAGAGAGGAGATGACCCACCCGGCCTCCTGACCCGTGCTTTTGTTGGTTCTGAAGTCCAGGCTGGTATTCTGTTTGCGTGCACTGAAAGAAAAACAGTGAAAGAAAAGTCCTAATACCAATCGGTTCATATGTGTCTACTATACTCTCTGAATGTCACGACAGAGCGCTTGGATCTTTGGATTTGTTGCAGTGTGACAACCTGAGGTACTTCATGTGTCGTCTCATTGTATGTGACTGAGCTGCTGCTGATGGTGCTCGGCCTTGTGTTTCTCCAGCTGTAGGAAGACCATACCTTCTTCTTGGAGGTCTTGCTGGTACCCTGCATCAGTGTTCTCATCCGTGTGTCTTGCAGCAGTGTGAGCTGCAAATGTAGTCCACTTGCACGGATGTGCGTTTTTCTCTGTGGGTTTCCTGTGGCCTGATCACACGGCGGGCAGAACGTTGTCAGTTAAAGTTGTTGCCTCTCAGTATTGTGTGGTTACTTCTCAGAAGAAGTACCACCGCCTCGAGCCCACCCAAGCCCCCCTCTGAACCAACCTGTCTGGATGTTCATTTTTTAACACTGGTTGCACGGATGACACCCATGCACACAAGTAAGCAATACCGTGTGTATGTGTGTCCTCAGCTTTCAATGGTATTGCTTCATTTTCTGTCTATTGTGTGTGTCCATCACAAATATATTTTGGCAGAGTAGGTGGAGTAACTCTGTCACTTCCTCTGTGATCCATGACGCGTCACGCTGTCAGCCAGTCAGTCCAGCAGCTCCCCTGTTTCCCTTTCTTGTTACACGGTTTGTCAGCAAGGAGATGCTGGAACATCCGTCCTCCGCTCTGCAGAGAGGCTGATCGGCTGCAATCTGCAGTCCCTGCAGGACTTGTTCGCCTCCAGGTCTCTGAAGCAGCTAAAAAGATGGCAGCCGACCCCTTTCACCCCGGACAAAACCTGTTTGTGCCCCTTCAATCTGGCAGGAGGCTGAGGTCCATCAGGACTAAGACCTCCCGCCACACCAACAGTTTCTTCCCAACAGCAGTCGGGCTCATCAACAGAGCCGGTCCCCCACTGACTGACTATGACTCTGACATTCAGTCTTTAATTTAGCAGTTTTTTACATGAGAGGAGTTTCCTTGAGTAACATTTGATCAAATTGGAACGTGAAAGAACCAAGCCGGCCTTGTGCCAAATAATTGTAGTTTCTTTACTATAATTACCAACATTTTTTTTTCTCATCAGTATCTACATCCATGTTGGTCAAGCCGCTGTCCATATTGGCAATGCCTGCTGGGAGCTCTACTGCCTGGAGCATGGGACCCAGTCGGACGGACAGAGGCCCAGTGGGAAGACCATCGGAGGAGGAGACGACTCCTTCAACACTTTCCTGAGTGAGACCGGAGCCGGACAACACGTCCCAAGAGCGGCCATTGTGGACCTGGAGCCCACTGTCATCAAGGAGTGAAGCTTTGTGCATGCAGAGCAACACCACTGCTATCGGATTGACCACAAGGTTCACCTGATGTGCGCTTAGCGTGCCTTTGTTCACTAGTATGTGGTGAGGGTTGATAATTATATACATGCTTTATAGGTTTAAAAATATATTTTATAGATATTTATGTATATATATTTTTTACAAAAAGTACCAGTCAGGAGTTTGGACACACTTTTGTCGTTGGATTGAGTGAGAAAACGCTTCCAAACCTTTGACTCGTACTGTATATGGGATGAAAGTGCAGATAGTGGTAATAGTGCAATTAAGGAGTCTGACTGAATCTGCATGGAACTAGTCGATAACTGTTGCTAACACACTCCCATCAGCACAGGATTGTTTATTTATAGTCATTAATTATCTTATAATGTTGCACTATAAGCTTGCATGACTGACTATGAGAATTTCTATCATACAAACCTTCTATTGTGTTGACTTTTACTGTCAAAATGTTCTTCTGGAATAATTGTTGCGCTTTGCATTTCTTTTTTTATAGAAAGAAAAGACGAAGGGTTGTTTTTCGTTTTCGATTCATAAAACAGTGGAAAAACGGCTGTTCATTTCCTTTTTCTCATTTATGGTTTTGAACAAAAAACAAAAAAAGAACATGTCATTTCCATATTTTTTATTGTTTGAACTGTAAAACAGACAGTAAAAAGTTACATGGAATCTTTGCTCATCACAAGGACTTCGTATTATTTTATTCAGCAATCACATTATGTAATGAGATGTCACAGACATAACTTTGTATATATATTAAGTACTTTCATACTATTTTGTTTTATTTGCATACTTAAAGAAAATATTGTAAAATTGTACAACCCAGTATGTCAGAGAATTAATTTTAAAATCCTACTGCTCACATATAAATCACTACATGCTTTAGGGCCAAAGTATATCACTGATATGCTTCCACTACATAAGCCTTCAAGATCACTAAGATCTTCTGACACCAATCTGTTAGTGATTCCCAGAGTAAATACAAGTCATGGGAAAGCATCATTTAGTTACTACGCAACAAACAGCTGGAATAAACTTCCTGAAGATTTAAGACTTTAAGCCCCAACTCTGACCACGTTTAAAACGAGACTGAAAACTTATGTTCAGCTTCGCCTTCTGCTAAATTACACCTACATTGCACTTTTAACCTCTGCCTTTAATTAAACAATTTAAATAAGATTTTAATCATTAATTTTATTTTCTGTTTTTAATTCCTGCATTTTATTTCACTTTATTGTATGAAATGTTATGATGTAAAGCACTTTGAGTCTGCCTTGTGTATGAAAAGCGCTATACAAATAAAATTGCCTTGCCGTGCCTTGAATTGCTGACAAATCAAGAATAAAAGCAAGTTAGCTATAAGCATGTGGATAAAAATGGATACAAAGTTAGAAAGGTTAGAAAAGTACATATTAAACAGATTAATAAAGAAAATATATACTGTATGTTTATGTATCTGTCCGATACAAAAAAACACACAACTCTCCATCAACAGCAAACCAGAGGAAATGCAAATCATTTCATTCTGTTCGGTTCCTGCTTGAGTGAAACAAACGTGTCGTCCATCTTCTGCCTACTGGTGTTTTTTTATCTCCACAGCCCGGAACACAACTCGAGTGAAACACGCATCTTCACCCTGAGTAACAAAGAGACATTTGTTATTTTCAAGTATCTTATTCTTCTGTTTTGCTTTTATAGCATGGAAATGTGTCTGAGAAGAATTAAAGCAACTGCAAAGTATATAAATACCCCAAATGGGTACAGTCTACTACCTGGCCCTCTATGGTTTGTCCCATCATGTTTGGTCTCTTCTGGAGAGTTTGAGATTCTTTGTCTGCAAACAAAAAAAGATACAGTGTCATTTCAAAATATCTGTTTGCAAATAACGCGATTTAAAGACAGCTTCGCTAAATGTTTACATGAATGATTTAACAAAATCTGATTGGAAACCAAAGCAGTTAAAACACCTGTTTTCTGACCGAAGTGATAAACCAACATGAAGGAGAAGACGGAGGAGAGGACAGCAATAGCTGGACACAGAGAGACCAGCAGAGTCCAACACAGAGGACAGAGACATTCTGGAGTCTGGAGCGGAGAATCGCTGCAGTCTGGACCTGAAACAAAGTTGTGTCAATAAGCGTCATTAAACTCTGACCCACAACGATGAGACTAAACACTGTATGGATACATGTTGGCACAATAGTCATGTTGATGCTTTAGCTTTGTTCAGAACACAAACAAAATATATATGTTTTTCTTTATTAAATATATAAACATACAGGCCTTTGGTTCCTGAACAAACCTTTTTACATGTGCATAAAGCACCAGGAATGAAAACACTGTTGTTTTGACTTGTTTGAATAAAGTTCAGCCGAGATTGTTAAGAATTCAAACTTTTCATTGAGCAAAAAAAGATATATACTATATTGGCAATATTATTTGTGCAAGAATGTCCAAACAATTCAGAATTGTTAAAGAAGGTGTTAAATGTTTAGTCAAATCATACAACGTAGATCTAACAGGAACAAAGTCAGAGCAGCAAACTTACTGATTGAGATCCTTGTTGTGACGTTTCCGTTTCTGTAAAGAGTTTTGAAGCCAATGAATTCTATTCCCTCTTCAGTTCCACAGTAGTAGAGTCCCTCATCAGAATCAGTGATGTTCATGATCAGCAGGTCATAAGAATTAGAAGAAGAGTTTCTCACAAATTGAAAACGAGGAAGACTTTTCAGAGGATCTTTAGTGTCACTGTCCAGATTGTATAATGATTTGACTTTAAGGACGAGAGGAGGCTGGTTCTCATGAGAGCAGTTCCTAAACCACACTATGTATACTCCAGTTGATAGTTTACAATCACAGTAGAGCGTGATGTTGTCTCCTGGTCTGACTGTCACTGATCCAGAGATCCAATCATGACTGCAGGATGCAACTCCTGGAAAACAGAGAAAATGGTAAAAGCAGATTGAAATGTGCTCCGTGTTGGATGATTTCACATTACAGCAGGGGCAGATTTCTGCTCAACACAACAACAATGAGAGCGTAATTAAAACATCCAAAATAAGTCTCCATAGACTTACCTAAGAGAGCGACTAGAAAAGTGTGCAGCCCGTCCATGAGTGATGATGACCGAAAGTTAACAGACAGACTGATTTTACCCAAAGATGTGATGCCTTTGAAGACAAAGTGTTCAATGTGATTGGCCAGTCAAGTGGAACATTTTCTTCTGTGGGATCTTTCTATTGGTGCAAAGATGTTTGTGGTATTCTGCGCCTTCCTGCTTCCCGTACGTGATTACTCTGTAACGAACACAATAAGATGAGCCCAACTGAGGGCTTGACATTACACAGCCTTGTATTTCATACACTGTTGTGTTTGTACAGTAGTACGTACAGTATGCTGAGGGGTTTATAGACATGAAGGACCAGAAGTTTGCATTCCTCAAAATAAATAAATAAGGACCGTGTTGGATACAGTGAGCTTCATTTACAGTTCCAACAAGTCGCTATAGTGGCCAATTTACTTTATTATTATCATTAATGCTGTATTTATGCTTTAATGAAGAATATTTTATTATTATATTAAATGGTGAACACCGTCAAAATGTCTAGTCTCCAACCCAAAATGAAGTTTTACAGAGGACACTATTAGTGACATGTAGCTGGTCTTTGGCTGCTGTGGTAACTCACTCTAATGGTTTACATAGATGATGAACACAGATGAGCTCGCATTCAAAATGTATCTGGAAATTATATTATAACTTTAATGGTTTCTAGTCGCTCATCTCAAACTCATCTTTTTTAAATTGGCAGAAGGAGAGCTGGTAATGCTAGCAGCACTGGAGCTAACGGCTAATGTACGTAGGTTTTATTGAGATGATCTCAAAGTGATATTTGCTCCCTTTTTTTTGCTGATTTTCGGCTTTAAACATGTGATACGATTGAAATCCTAATGTCCTTTTGTTGTGTTTGTGAGAACTGATAAAGAAGTTGTTAGCCTTGAGTGACTAGCATGTTGTCGATGTCTTTGCATACCTTGACAAGCTGTTGCTCTCCGTCCTGCTTCAGAGGCCAAACTGCCTGCAGACGTTCATCATCATCATCGTTTACAGTCTCTAGAAAGATCTATAAGAAGAGGTCAAGTATTAATCATTACCAAAAAGACAGTTTATGGCTCTTCTAAAAATGAGACAAATAATTATTTTGGAGGTTTGACCACCTAAACACAACAACAGGAGACGTGTGTTGGTCTACGTTCACACACATCATCTCAGAGGACGGATAGAAACACACAGTGTCAAAGCTTCATGGTGGGAACTATCAAACACACTTGTCTTTACATTGGGGCTGGAACACGGTGTGATATCACTGATGCTGTGGTTGCTGAGGTACCGCTATGTGCGTGTGTGTCTACACATGCCTGCATTGATGTTCACACTTCTTGCTGTTTCCTCGTTCAGCCTCTGATTCTCTGTTGATCTACTCACCACAAATAAACTGCTTTGTGTGACTGCTGTTTGGTGGATGTACGAGAAGAAAACCAGACCTGGATGAAGGTGTGTTTCCATATCCTGTGTCATGAACGTTTATTTACTTTTACTTTATACTTTTACTTGTTTCCATTTCAGCCCGCTGCTGCAGTTTGACTAAATCTGACCTCTCATGCAAGTCTATATAAAAGGATTTTCCAAATAATAGTTATTCATTTAAACCCCACTTTTGAAATTCATTTTGATTATGTAATAACCAATTTTTGGATTTTAGATTTACAATGACAAAATGTCTCCACACGCGCGTGTCCAGGTAGTGGCCTACTTGTTGCACCCCATCATCCTAAACTGTCATCAACCATCTGCTGGAGGCGGCATCTTGGCCTAAATCGACTGTTTAAGGAGTAAACCGTACTCTTGTTTGTAGGTCCTGTTCAGTCTTTAATTAGTGAAACAGCCTCCCAGCGGACTGACCTCGTCTTTGCATACAGTTGGAAATATTTTGTAGTAAAACCGTTAACCGAAACATCTCTTAGAAGGAATGTCACATTAGCTGCAGAATAGTACCAAATATAAGGTGTTGATTTCATCTGAAGGATTCTCTATCCTATGACATCATTGCATATCAATTTCAAATCAAGATGGCCCTTGACCTCGTTCTGTTTGTTCAGGACATCTTGGGGTCAGACCTCGTCCTGGCGTGTTTTTTGGTCTGTGACTTAACAGCCCCACTAGAGGTCAGGAGCGTTTCCCCTGGAGCTGCTGCTGCAGACTGAGATCACACCATCAGCCTTTCACCGCCTTTATCACTGTTTTCACGTTTGTTTTTCTCCCAAAAACGCCAAAGCTGTTGTCCCCAACATGGCGAGTCCTGCATTCAACAAATCTAAAGCGTTTGTTGAGGTACAACGATGTGAGAGAAGGAACCCTATCTGAGACCAGGGTCTTTTTTCCATCGCCTGTGGTTTTGTGTCTAAGCTCTGCAGCCCTGTGAGGGACTGGTTGTCACTGTGAGTTTCCTGCGGGTCTACTGAGTAGAAGGTGTGACGTGCTTGAGGTTTGCTTTGCTGTCACCTCTGTCTTTTTAACTTCTTGGAAACTGTAGCAGAGACGTCCTGAGAACAGCAGCCATCTTGGCTCTGTATGATGTGTAACAGAATGAGGCTCCATCATGACGTATTCTTGAGGTCACGAACTCTATAGCGTCTGGGTGGATTCTAGGTTGTGATATGAACAGGAAACTGCCTGAAAACAGCAATTATGTCTTGTTACAGATAAACAGTCTTCACAGCCATAAGGAAATGTTACAGATCGATTTCAACCAAAAAGGTGAATCTGAAGCTGAATTTGAAACAACAATAACAAACAGTCTTTCTCTCTGAAAGGTTTTTAAAAAGTTATAATTATTAAAAGTGTTGTGAATATACAAGCCATAAATAAGGATTGCCTGTCAGATTTAAATGGCGGAAGATAAGTGACAGAATGGTCGATATCCCTTAACAGAAATGACACCGTGGGAAAGGTTTGAAGGTGGGAAAACTCCTAGTCCAGTCAAAAATGGAGGGATGTGAGGAGTTTACAGTGCTCCTCAGAGTAAGTGGGGAAGAAGTCAATCAAAATAGGTTGGAAATTGATTTGTAGTCCGTCAATCACAGTTAGCCCCGCCCTAAAGCATATTTCTCCTTATGGTCTATTTGACTCCAAATGTTCAAATTGTTAGATGTTGTCATCCCTGACCATTTTTGGTGGCCTGTGTATCTTTCTTTTCCGTGTTCTGCAGGCAACCCAGCAGATGGCTTAATTGGGGGTCCATCTTGTTTGGTTGCACCATCAGCGCCGGCCCCTTTAAAACCATCATCCAGGGGGATCGGGAGAGGGAAAGAGGCATGTGGCTGGTTTGGCTGCCACAATGTTTAAAACTAATACATTCTTGATTATTCTCTAATACTTTCCTTATTTTCCCTCGCGTTTGTTTTTGTTACGTTGCCGGAGAGCAGGGAACGTAACAATTGTGGTTGTTATTTTCCTTTTTTAGACTCTACATCCTTGTGTAGAGTGTTGATGCCAGAATAGGTGCTGAAGTCAGAACTTCTTCTTTGGTCTGTGTGATGTCTGTTGGATTTCCAGTGCAGCATAGCACACATCTTCATCCTGAAATTTGACATTTGTTCTTTAGAATCGTGACCGTATACTGATATATTGCCATGAATCAGTACTTTCTTGTGTTGCACCTACCCCATGCTGTCTTCTTTGAGGTGTTTGCTGATCAGGTTGTGGAGCTGCAGAAATCAATACAACATCAGTACAGACAGCGTGGTGCATCAACACTCAAACACGGATCAAAAGAAGAGACTTCAGGTGTCTTTGTGGTAGAAATGAATTCAGTAGATCAATGACATTTCTTACATTTAGCTCTTAAGGAGCGGCATACAGTAGTTACCTTTTTTCTGACACAGATGATAAACTAGAAGAGAGGAGATGACCCACCCGGCCTCCTGACCCGTGCTTTTGTTGGTTCTGAAGTCCAGGCTGGTATTCTGTTTGCATGCACTGAAAGAAAAACAGTGAAAGAAAAGTCCTAATACCAATCGGTTCATCTGTGTCTACTTTACTCTCTGAATGTCACGACAGAGCGCTTGGATCTTTGGATTTGGTGCAGTGTGACAACCTGAGGTACTTCATGTGTCGTCTCATTGTATGTGACTGAGCTGCTGCTGATGGTGCTCGGCCTTGTGTTTCTCCAGCTGTAGGAAGACCATACCTTCTTCTTGAAGGTCTTGCTGGTACCCTGCATTAGTGTTCTCATCCGTGTGTCTTGCAGCAGTGTGAGCTGCAAATGTAGTCCACTTGCACGGATGTGCGTTTTTCTCTGTGGGTTTCCTGTGGCCTGATCACACGGCGGGCAGAACGTTGTCAGTTAAAGTTGTTGCCTCTCAGTATTGTGTGGTTACTTCTCAGAAGAAGTACCACCGCCTCAAGCCCACCCAAGCCCCCCTCTGAACCAACCTGTCTGGATGTTCATTTTTTAACACTGGTTGCACGGATGATACCCATGCACACAAGTAAGCAATACCGTGTGTATGTGTGTCCTCAGCTTTCAATGGTATTGCTTCATCTTCTGTCTATTGTGTGTGTCCATCACAAATCAATTTTGGGAGAGTAGGTGGAGTAACTCTGTCTCTTCCTCTGTGATGCATGACGCGTCACGCTGTCAGCCAGTACAGTCCAGCAGCTCCCCTGTTTCCCTTTCTTGTTACACGGTTTGTCAGCAAGGAGATGCTGGAACATCCGTCCTCCGCTCTGCAGAGAGGCTGATCGGCTGCAATCTACCGTCCCTGCAGGACTTGTTCGCCTCCAGGTCTCTGAAGCGAGCTACAAAGATGGTAGCCGACCCCTCTCACCCCGGACGAAACCTGTTTGTGCTCCTTCAATCTGGCAGGAGGCTGAGGTCCATCAGGACTAAGACCTCCCGCCACACCAACAGTTTCTTCCCGTCGGCAGTCGGGCTCATCAACAGAGTCGGTCCCCCACTGACTGACTATGACTCTGACATTCAGTCTTTAATTTAGCAGTTTTTTACATGAGAGGAGTTTCCTTGAGTACCATTTGATCAAATTGGAACGTGAAAGAACCAAGCCGGCTTTGTGCAAAATAATTGTAGTTTCTTTACTATAATTACCAACATTTTTTTTTCTCATCAGTATCTACATCCATGTTGGTCAAGCCGGTGTCCATATTGGCAATGCCTGCTGGGAGCTCTACTGCCTGGAGCATGGGACCCAGTCGGACGGACAGAGGCCCAGTGGGAAGACCATCGGAGGAGGAGACGACTCCTTCAACACTTTCCTGAGTGAGACCGGAGCCGGACAACACGTCCCAAGAGCGGCCCTTGTGGACCTGGAGCCCACTGTCATCAAGGAGTGAAGCTGTGTGCATGCAGAGCAACACCACTGCTATCGGCTTGACCACAAGGTTCACCTGATGTGCGCTTAGCGTGCCTTTGTTCACTAGTATGTGGTGAGGGTTGATCATTATATAC